CTGCATACCTAGAATAAAGCATGGTCTAAGTAACTTATTAATCACAAGAAATTTTAAGTACATTGAACAGAAAAAGCTATACAGTTGTAATACTCTTGGTTTTTCGAGACAGGGTTTCTCTGTGGCTTTGGAGGCTGTCCTGGAACTCACTTGGTAGTCCAGGCTGGTCTCGAACTTACAGAGATCCGCCTGCCTCTGCCTCCCGAGTGCTGGGATTAAAGGCGTGCGCCCCCAACGCCCGGCTAGACCTACTTTCTAATAATCACCCATTTGGTGTGAATTCATTAATGAAGCTAGAATTCTTGAAGTCCAGTTATCTCTCTGTAACCTTACTACTTGGGGACCAGCTCTTGAACATGTTAAAACATGACGCAGAGTGATACTGAACTAAATTTCTGTATTGGATAAAACAGGTGATGATACTCATGTAGAGAAAAGAGATAACACCTAGTGCACAGAAGTATCCAATTAAATATCCTAAGCTATGTAACCCCCCAAGCCCCAAGGAGTATCCAATCCTAAATGCCAGTAGTTTATAGGGTAAGATTGAGAGACCTTTAGATTCTGGATGAGAAGGCCAAACCTAGCAACAGATTCTTAGATTTAGGGAAAGTACTGTCCTACAGTTTTGAAATTTGGTTAGAAGAGATTAAATATAAAAAAGTAAATACCTAGCCAGGGCTTGTTGGTGCATTTGGGAAGAGGTTTGGTAGTCCAGGGTCAAAGTTCTGATCCAGCTTGGGCTACATGAACCCTGTCTTTAAGGGGCTTAGGAGTAGGGAGGACAAACAGTAATATGTGAGGTAGAAATTTCACTAAAGAAAGGCCTTTTGAGCAGTTAATGTTTGTCTTAGTTAGGGTTTCTTTTGCTGTGAAGAGACCACGACCATGGCAACTCTTACAAAGGAAAACATTTAATTGAGGTTTAGTCCATTACCATGATGTCAGGACTGGCAGCATGTTACACACATGGTGCTGAAGATGGAGCTGAGAGTTCTACATCTTGGTCTGCAGGCAGTATAAGGAGTCTCTGTCCCACTGGCCAGGCTTGAGCTTATAAAAACCTCAAAGCCAGCTTCCAAAATGACACTTCTAGCAAGGCCATCACTTCTCCTAATAGTGCCATTCCCTGTGGACAAAGCAATCATATGCTTTGAGTTTGGTGCGAGTGGACCCTTATCAGAGCATATCACATCCTTCTCTTTAGCCTTAAGGAATAAAGATGATTCCTTCAAGGGAAAATGATAGGACTGATCTCACTATAATGAAAATTCTTAGACATGCCTGATTCGAACTTTGTAGCTGCTCACTACGAGCATATTCTCTGTTGAAGTTTTGGTTTTATCTCTATGAAAGGAGTGGGATGGGTCCAGTGTATTCTAAGGCACCTTCAACCTGAATTACTGAACAAAAAAATGACTGACTTGTTAAAATTTTGTGTGCCAAGACATGTTGTGCCATTGAGTGAATAAGCAAGTATAGGGAGTTTCTCTGCATTTTATTTTTGCTGTTTAATGAGTCAGACCTTGGGGGGACTGGCATTTTTTATGGAGTCATAACTCCATCTTGTGGTCTTTCAGAATATTACCAGTAAATTTGTTTCAAAGTTTGGAGATTGAAGGTTCAGTAGAAGCACTTTGGATTTAATTTCTATCACAAATAGCCATACCAAGTATACATATACATAATAGTATTTGTTGCACAGGTATACACACCATATGCAGACTTAACAATTGGAGGACTCGATAGAGTTGGATGAGAAAAGTGAAGAATTGGAGGTTTTTGTTTTGAAAATATTATATAGTAGATCAGTAGATGAACAGATTTCTGCCTTTCCGAAATGTCAGAATTCATTGAGTAATATTAAGTTCACAAGGTTCAGGGATTTCAGTGAAAGCAGTTTGTCAGGTAGTCCAGCTAAAGTGAATGCAAGAGGTTTGTTGGTTTACTTGTTTTTGAGATGGTCTTTTGTATAGATAGTCCTATGGCTATCCTGGAACTGCTGTATAGACCAGGCTGGCCTGGACCTCACAGAGATTAAATCTCTGCCTTTGCCTCTTTAATTCACAACTAAATTGTCTATGTTGACTTAGGTTACATAGCTTATAGCAAATATGCCTATATATGTACATATGTGGTTTTCATAATGAGCACAAGTTAGAGAGGCTACACAAGGTTCAGGTTTCAGAAATGGACTAAGTATCTGTATTGATAATAGCAAACTAAACCAGAAGCTTTCTTCTGGGGTCCATTTTGTGAGTTCAGCTTCAGGATGGAAGGCTAAGTTGAGTCTGACACAGGAAATGTGAAAAGGTGGACAGGAAGGTGGTTGAGTAAGTAGGGGGACCAAACCAAACCAAAGTTCCAGGGACACTCTGGAATCCTACTTGTTGATCATGCATACATGCACATGTGATCCTGTACCTATATATAAGGTAGTTCAGAGGGGGGTTGTGTCATCAGTGTTGTGTCCATTGCTTCATAGGGTTTGAAGGAGGAAATTATACCCCTTTCTGTGGTGTGCCTAATTGTCCCTAGTTAATTCCCTACAATTTCAGTACACCTCAATAAATTTATAGCAAGACTCCGTTTCTACTTCCAGTTTGTGCTGGGTAGGTAGTGCCTTACAGAATAAAACGCCTCAAAGGAGTCTAACCTAAGATAAGGTACTGTATCACATCACTCATGTCTGGGTTTATCAGTTTTAAGAATGTTTTTTCCTAAAGGTCCTGTTACAATTTCCTTTGCTATTTTTGTTCAGCATTTCAGAAATTAAACTTGTCTACATTTTTTGCTGTGCATTTAAAGGTAATCCTTTTAAATATTTTTATATTTACTGAGGGTGGGTTGTCGCACATACAATTGGGGTGTTCATAAAATGGTCTGTGATACTATATTTTTTACTAATACAGGTCAAGTGTGTTTTATTTAACCATCCTCATATCAGTAAATGCTTTATGTTCATTATTTCTTGCTTAGCATTTTAGTTTTCACACTACAAATGTGGTATATACATGCATATATTGCATTTCACTGTTGTTTACTGTAATGCTCTGGTTTCCACCTGCTACCAAGTAGGAACTGCATTCCTTTTTCTGACTTATTGGTTGTCTTAATTTTTATTTTGTCTTAGTACTTTTTGTTTTTGCCATGCACTGTGAACCATTTCTAAGAGGGTAAGAGCCTAAAGATGGCTTAGCAGTTAAGGACACCTAACTACTTTTGGTTCCCAGCACCCACATGGCAGTTTCAGCAATTTGACACAAGGCACAAATATATATATACATTCATAAGGCAAATACTCATAAACATAAATAAAAACTAGCCTTAAAAAAAAAGGAGAGAAGGAAAATAGGGCTGTGGTTGTAGCTCCTAAAAGAGTACTTATTTAGCATGCAGGAGGCCCTGAGCTTGATCTCCAACACACAAAGAGATATGATGGGGGAATGTCCTTCTGTATACTGTGAACATACTTTTCTCTTACTGGCTGACAAATAAAGCTGTTTCAGCCAAAAGACAGGCAGGAAGGATAGTCGGGCTACCAGACCAGGAGAATGCTGGGGAGAGGAATGCAGAGAGGGAGTCTTGGGTCATATGTTGTGTAGCTGACAGGGAGCAAGAAGTCTGGGTATCATTGGTAAGTGAAGACCATGTGGAGATACACAGATTAATGGAAATGGGTTAATAATTAAGAGGGAGCTAGCCAATATGAAGCCCAAGCCATTGACCAGTTTATAATTAATATAACCTGTGTTTATTTGGGACTGAATAGCTGCAATACTGGATGGGACAGAAAATTCCACCTACAAAGATATATTCAAATGTCTACTGATAGTGCTGCTAGTGTTAGAAATGAACTGTTGTGTGAATTTCCAGCAGGATTTGCTTGAACAGGTTTGTTTTTAGTGTGTAGTAAAACTTAATTTGAGTCAAAGTTGATTTTTGTGGACCACTTTTCAAGGCAAAAAAAAAAGTTTCATTACCAGTCAATCTTGAGCTCTCATTTAATGCCTTATTCCCATAGAATGATTTGCTTTGATTGATGTGGTTTCTTAATAATGCTGCTGTTGCCATTATTCATAGGTAACTTTCAAACTGATATTTTTTGAAGTTCCCAGATACTCTGTTTTCTGAAATTCTCATGCTGAAACAGTGAGGTATCCTGGAATATGATTTTTTTTTAAACAGAGCTCTTTTTTTTTTTTTAAGATTTATTTATTATGTATACAGTGTTCTGTCTGCTTGCGTCCCTGCAGGCCAGAAGAGGGTGCCAGTTCTCATTCCAGATGGTTGTGAGCCATCATGTGGCTGCTGGGAATTGAACTCAGGACCTCTGGAAGAGCAGCCAGTGTGTTCTTAACCTCTGAGCCATCTCTCCAGCCTGGAATATGAATAGTGATACTATTACTCGATCAACATTCCCAACAAATGAGTGCAAATTATTTTTTATAACTGACTTATTTTTTATTTACACAAAGGAAATGGGCAGGTTTCTCAATGTTTAATGCGAGGTTGTCCTCAAGAAATAGTGAAGTGGGCTGGAGAGATGGCTCAGAGGTTAGGATCACTGACTGCTCTTCTAGACATCCTGAGTTCAAATCCCAGGAACCATATGGTGACTTACAACCATTTATCATGCAATCTGGTGCCCTCTTCTGGCTTACAGGCACATATGGAGGCAGAATATTGTATACATAATAAATAAATCTTTAGAAAAAGAAATAGTCAAGCAATTTACATTCTCATCTGCAATGTATATGAGTACAATTTACTAAGAATAATATTCTTAACCTTGGTTAATGTGTGCTTTGTTGCTAAATGTGTACAGTTGTATAAGTAGAATTTTGAACATTGGCAAAATTTGCTTGTTTTGAGAATATAAAGTCATAACAAAAAGGTTGAATTTATCAGTCATGCAAAAATAAACTGGTACTCTTTTAATATTATCTTAGCAAATTAAGTTAATTATCTTTTATTGAGTACATTTTGGTTTGTTCCAGTAGCCGGATCGAGCTGGGGGATGTGACACCACACAATATTAAACAGTTGAAGAGATTGAACCAGGTCATCTTTCCAGTCAGCTATAATGATAAATTCTACAAGGATGTGCTAGAGGTTGGCGAGCTAGCAAAACTTGGTACGTTTTTTTTTTCTTTCCTTTTTAAAATTTGTATCCTTAAACTATATTTGTTAATATTAGAGCAAATAATACAGGTTCCTTATTTTATACGCAAAGGAAATTGGAACTTAAAGTTTTTGAGAAAGATCAATATTGAATATTTAACTTGAGAAGTAAATACTAAATGTCCTTTTTTTAAAAAAAAGTCTGGGCAGCTAGTTGGCAGTGGCACATGCCTTTAATCCCAGCAGTTAGGGGACAGAGGCATGAGGATCTATGTGAGTTTGAGGCCAGCCTGGTTAAGAGCAAGTGCCAGGACAGGCTTCAAAAGCTACACAGAGAAAACCTGTCACCAAAAAAAAAAAAAAGAAGAAGAAGAAGAAGAAGAAGAAGAAAGGTGTGTGTGTACAGGCACACAATACAGTGACCATAGGGACATTAGAGAACAACTTGAGGAGGTTGGTTCTAGCCTTCCACCATTTTAAGTTCCAACACTTGTGTTTTCAGGTTTGGTGGCAAGTACCTTTATCTGCTAAGCCATCTCCCTGACTCCTAGATACTTTCTGTTATTTACTGTGAGCCTGTGTGTTTATCACTAATTTAACTATTACTGAGAAAGCTTAACCTTCCTCAGCAGATAGTCTTGAGGGCATTGATATTCTCATAAAAGTAGCTAGTTAAAATCTGATGCCTATTAACAACTTTTGTTTTTAAAAGGAGCTGATTATATAAAATGTTGACATTTACATCTTTCTTTGTATTTTTTCTGTGGTAGCATATTTCAATGATATAGCTGTAGGTGCAGTGTGCTGCAGAGTGGATCATTCACAGAATCAAAAGAGACTTTACATCATGACACTAGGATGCCTTGCACCTTATCGAAGACTAGGAATAGGTAAAACTTATGTTTTGTTCTGTTGTTTAAAGAAAACTGGGAAGCCAGGAATTGGTGGAGCATGCCTTTGAAGAGGGATCTTTGAGAGCTAAACAGAGAAACCCTGTCTCAAAAAGAAAAGAAACTGGGAAGGGAATAATGAATTGTGAAAAGTATAATCAAAACTATTGCTTGGTATTCATTTGGAAGTCCCATAAATTTGTTCACATTTATCAGTCTGGAGTTATTTGCAATAAAAATGTCCTTACTGGTCTGTGGTAGTATACACCTTTAATCCCAGCACTTGGGAGGCAGAGGCAGGCAGATCTGAGTGAGTTCCAGGATAGCCTGGTCTACAAATTGAGTTTTAGGACAGCCAGGGCTGTTACACAGAGAAACTCTGCCTCCAAAAAAAACCCAATCAAACAAAAAAGTCCTCTTCTAATGTTTTTAAACATGTAACTTACGCAGTGAGAACAAAATTTGGGGAAATAATGGATGTCTAGTTGTCATCTAATTCTATGTCAGTCCCTAGTAAAGATGGCAAGTATATGTGAAATTTCAAGGTTGATTTGTAAAGTTATTTGTTGTTTGTCTTATTAATAGGAACTAAAATGCTAAATCATGTCCTAAACATCTGTGAGAAAGATGGCACTTTTGACAACATCTATCTGTAAGTACTTAATGTTCATCTAAGTGTCTGACAAATTATCTGCCTAATCCCTATCAGAAACATTGAGATCTACCCACTCTCTCTGTATATTTGATTGAAAACACCATGAAGGTATGCTTGTCCCTTGATATCCATAGAGATATAAAAGGCACATTAGAGAGGGCTCGTTTCATGAGAGCATTGGCTGTTCTTCCAGAGAACTCCAGTTCCAGGGGATCCTACACCCTCCTGATACATAAGTGGTACACATGTATATTTGCAGACAGAAATATCTATGCCCATAAGTTTTAGAAAAAAAAGAGTACATTTATTCAAGATGTCACAAATCCATATAAAAGGACATACTATTTACAGATGACCTATTCCTAACCTCCCATTCTTTAAAGTGACCTAATTTACTTAGGATGCCTAAAAAAAAAATGGTAGAGAAGTTTTTAAAACAACTTTGTATTTAATTCCGTGTTGGTGAATTTTGGGTAGAAAATTGTGATGAACTATTTTTGTTATATTTGGTTTTAATTATATATAAGGAACCTAATAGGAAACCAAGATTGCAATACAGGTATTCAGAAGTTTGAAATCATTAATAACAGTAATAATTGATATATTTTATTCAAGGCTATCAGTAACATGCTCATTTGTAATAGAGTTTAATAATCAAAGTTAGACATAATCTAGTTGAAATTATACTTGAGTCTCAGAGGGCCATAGTGTAAAGAGCCAAGACAGCTGGGCATGATGGCTCATGTCTCTAATCACAGCACCTGCACTCAGGAGGCAGAGGCAGGTGGATTACCATGAGTTTTAGGCCAGTCAGGGAGAAACCCTGTCTCAAAAAATAAACATAAAAGGCTAAGATAAAAATCACAGCAACAGGAGGCTGGAGAGACTGTTCTTCCAGAGGTCCTGAGTTCAATTCCCAGCAACCAGGTGGCTCACAACCACCTTGAATGAGATCTGGTGCCTTCCACTGGCATGCAGGCAGAAGAGTGTATACATAATAAATAAATAAATAAATAAAAAATCACAGCAACAGATTGTTTTCATATTCATATTGGGTGAGATTAAATTATGCAGTGTCATTTTGAAGAGTAATGAAAGAAGCTCAAGAAGATAGATTTAGGCAGTTGAGACTGAAGTGTATTTTTTTTTTTTTCTTTTTGATGTTTCAAGACAGGGTTTCTCTGACTTTGGAGACTGTCCTGGAACTAGCTCTTGTAGACCAGACTGACTGGTCTTGAACTCACGAACTCGCAGAGATCCACCTGCCTCTGCCTCTCTAATGCTGGGATTAAAGGTGTGTACCACCACTGCCTGACTGAAGTGTATTTTTCTGTTTTTAGTGTGTTTATTTTCTGGGAAGGGCATGTGCACGAGATTGCTGGTATCTAAGACTAGAGGCATCAGCAATCTCTGGAACTGAAGTTTCAGGTGGTTGTGAGCTGCCTGGTGACAGTGCCGGGTCAGACAGAACTCTGATCCCCTGGTAGACTGAGCCTCATCTCATGATAGTTTAACCTTTGTCAAATATAAGAATATGCACTGATCCTCCTGATCTCAGCCATCTGCCTGGCAAGTGGGAGAATTAGGTTAAAAGTGTAAATTGTTGTCAGGTTTATTGATAACAAACTGAATAACCTGTGTTAAATATTGGTCATTGTAAAGAAAGTGTACAAAATGTCTGTAATATTTCACCTCTGACATTTGAAGCTATGTGTGGTTAAGACTTGAAAGTTGATGAAACTGTCTTATATATGTCTCAGGCATGTCCAGATCAGCAATGAGTCAGCGATTGACTTCTACAGGAAGTTTGGCTTTGAGATTATTGAGACGAAGAAGAACTACTATAAGAGGATAGAGCCTGCAGATGCTCATGTGCTTCAGAAAAACCTCAAAGTCCCATCTGGTCAGAGTGCAGAGACACAAAAGACAGACAACTGAACAAATTACAAAAGAACTTTCTTGCACTTGCTTGTCGCCAAATAAAAGAAAGACCCATTAATTCCCCTCCCCCTTTCTTCAGCTTTTCTCCCTTGATACTCCTCCTTTCTTTCCTCTTAAAGTTTGTAATACTTTCAAGGACTCTTAAAAATGATCATGTTTGGATTGTTTCAGTTCTCTTATTTTTGTGAGGTGGTTGGGTTGAAGGAAAGAGAAAATAGGCCTGTATAGTTTCACAGTTACGATGTCCTCTCAAATTGGGTACCAGATTTTTTTTTTTGTGGCATCCTGCTTTCACATTGAAGAGCAGAGCCTACAATATTGTTTATTTCAAAAGAAGCCGCAGCAATATCTTGTTCTCTAATTCATAGACAAGCTTAGTGTATTTGTGGTACTTTGAGTTTTAAAGACTATCTGTGGGATGCTAATCCCTGACATTGCCTTCACTCTACCTTTAGTCCTTTGAGTACTCTCAGGAGTTGAACCATTGTTATTCTTGTGAGAAAATACTAAGCTTATTTGGGGTTTTAAAGCAGTTTTTCTCTATATTTGCTGATTGCTGGGGCCATTTGTGTAGTTAGTATTAGACTTTGGTCAAAGTATTTCAGTTAAACTGCTATTTAGCTGGTGAGTGGGTTGCTTGTTAACAGGTTTTTATTTTTTATTTTTTTTTGGGTTTGGGTTTTTTCCTTCCTGCTGTAAATCTTGTTGCTAGAGGCATTAACTTGTAGAGTATGAGCTGGTGAAATTAACTGTTTTAATATCCCAGCTAGAGATATGGCCTTTAACTGACCTGAAGAAGATTGTTATAATTGATTTTTTTCCTTTTTTCAGTAAGCTCAATAATAGTGTAAGCTTAAATGGAATTATATTCTTATAAGCCAATACCCCTAAATAAACCCGAAGCAAGTGTTTTTCTTGGACCTACAAAATTACATAAAAAACTTAGATGGACTTATAACACATTGTTATCTAATGTCAACTAATGCAAATTGTTAGAACTGTGGCCATTGAGCATTTGATAATATATGAAAGAATTTCTAGACAGTATTTTTGAAAATAACATTGTTATGCTATTGCTTATCTGTTGGAGAACATCCCAGATTGCTTACACTCTTGTGCCTACAATGTTGAGTTTAAAGATTTGGAATAAGAGGAATTGGCAAATTTCTTCTATTCTTGGAACAATAGAAGTATGAAGTGTTAATACAAATATCACTGTGACCTCCGGTTGACAGGTTTGGTTAAGGCCAGATCATTTTCAGGCACATTGGTAGTGGCTCTGATGGGTTGAGAACTGTAATGTGGAGACATGTGAGATAGTCATATTTTCCTCACATAGCCTCATCTCAAAATACATGGCATTACTTAGATTGTCAGTAGTCATCAGTGGCTCAAGAAATGTTCTTACTAGACTTTAAAACAACAGAGTATGTTTTCTCTCATTTGACTTTAAAAGGAAGTTTGATACATCCTCTTAGGAAAATTGTGGTATGAAAGTCTTATTTCCAAATAGGTTAAGAAAATGCTTATGCACACTTTATATCTCTTAAGGGTTTTTTTGCTTTTTTGTTTTGTTTTGAGAATGTGAAAGTACATTAAGTGGACTTCAGTAGTCTTGAGTGCCAAGAAAATACAGACAAGGGGTGTGGTTGATGGATGGATGAACGGACGGATGGATGGATGAATAGGGTAGGAAAATTGTAGAAATACCATGCTTGTTTCTTGGGTATCAGTCCAAATCTAAGCTCAGAAGAAAGTTTAGTGTTAAGCACCTTTACTTCCATGGATAAGCTTCAGCTTACTCTTGCCAAGAGAAGAGGGCATAAATGATAGAGCGTAATTAGTTTGAAGAAGTCAGCCATTTTGTAAACTTCCAGATAGCAAAATAGATTTTGATATATAAAAAGTTTTCTGAGATGACACTGCCTCTATTTCTATAACCATTTCACTTGGACTATTTGAGTAGTCCTATGAATGTATCCCTAAATGTGGTTATTGAAACCGAATAGCTGCCTCACAACAATTAAGTACATGTTATTTAAAGAGGAGGAACAAATAATAAAGTTTGAATTGAGTGTGTAGGCTCCCTATTATTGTTTCCTTTTTCACACTAGTCGGTGATTTAACCTAAATTTTAATTGTATGTAATGGGTCAATTGTCCTGTATCAAAGTTGCATTAAATAATTCCATCCACTTACATAAGGGGAAGATGTGAAAGAGGTAGAAACTGGGACTAGTCCATATGCCTGTGAGTCAAGAAATTCTAAAACTAACACCCCATGTTAAGTTTGTGGTTTATGGTTTGGGTTCATTTTGTTTTTAATATATGATAAAAAAATAATCTTTGAGGTAAAACAGTAATTCTGTTAACTGGAAGATCATCATTTTTCAGGACAGATCATTTTTATTGTGGGGGTAAATAGGTTAAAAATATTCTGTATGCTATTTGAATTTAGGTTCTAAAGTAAAGATTCTGTAGAAAAATCTATGCAATGTATAATTTGTAAAGGTTAATTTTCATTTGGGGAAAGGAGTTCCTAAGTGTCTCCACGCAGGTCACTCATTAATTGAAAATCCTCCAAAAAGAGAACTATTGGGAAGCATGGTGTGTGGTGGTGGAAAAGAAAAACTCCCTCAGTTTTTGGAGGGAATATCTTTAAGATACATAAGTGGCTACGTTTACTTGGTGCAGTTAAGAATTAACCTTGTCAATTTTAACGTTACTGTTACATCTGAAATAAACTTATGTGATGTTCTGGTAGTAATCTGTCTGTAAATGTCATGAAACTCGTGCTGAGTTTTACAGTCTGCAACTGTAAGTCGTTGTGTACTGTGACCCATACTGTTTTCTATTTCTTTAAGACTTAATTTAAAACTCATTAAAATAGTTCAGATATACTCAGGGCTCAACCAATCAGACTTTGATTTAAAAAAAAGTGTACAACAGATGGGCAGCAGGCAATGTAGCCAACCATCTCCATCCCCCAGAAGCCTCAGACCAACAAGTCTGCCTACAACAGCTACAGTTGGGGGGCCAACTGAGGCCCTGACTCTCTTCTCCTGGTCCCATCGTCTGAGAGGGCCTCTCAGTCTGGAAACTGGATGAAAGCAGCATTGAAGAGAAAGAGTGGGCAGTTCTGCTTCACACCTCAACTTCATGTATGTCCCTTGCCTATACCATGCCACCTGCTGCATGTGTTACAGGATTTGTATTTTCTCCCCTACCTCGTTTCTCTTCCTCCTTGCTTTCAAGATTCTGAAACTGATGTGGGCCCTGCCTTCATGTCTTCCTGTTTACTCAGGTTGTATATGGGTAATGTATATATCTGCCCTAAATCTCCTTTCTATATTAGTGAGGTAAACCAAATAACACAAAATGACATAAATGTGAACAGCATTGTCAGATGAGGGGGGGAAAAACATGACCAAATCAAACAAAGTTTTTTCTCTTTTTTTTTTTTTTTTTTTTTTTTTTGAAGCAGGGTTTCTCTATGGCTTTGGAGGCTGTCCTGGAACTAGCTTTTGTAGACCAGGCTGGTCTTGAACTTGCAGAGATCCGCCTGCTTCTGTCTCCCAAGTGCTGGGATTAAAGGCGTGTGCCACCAATGCCCGGCGTAAAGGTTTTTTCTTAACAGGATTAACAAATGTTTAATATTTCTAGTCAAGATGGTCTGAATTTGCACTTTGCTTATTCTACAAGAAAATGGATGAATTTTGTGTGTCTTAGTAACCTTATCACTCCAAAATTGAACAGTTTTAAACAACAGATTTGTTGAATTCCATTGTATACCAAACAAGCAATGTGTGAGATCTTATAACATCAAGTATCACTCAGGGCATTTTCTGTAAGAGTTGATAATGGCTGTAGGAGCTACTTCATTGCATTTACATGGCTGTCAGATCTCAGTTCTCATTATGTTAGTGTAGCCATTGGAATCATTTGGAACATTAAGATGAAACACCTGATACTTAACAAGCCTAGTGTTGGTCTTTAAATAAAAATTATGGTCTTTCTGAATTATGATGAAAGCTGAAATCTTAACATTTGAGAAGAGGTACTATTGGATAGAATATGTTGTCATTTTCTGCACATTGAATTAGGAGCTCATTTACAACAGACAGTTTACAGGTGGTGAAGTGTTTCGATGTGGGTACTAGGAACTGGACAGGAGTCCTCCAAGAGCAGTAAATGCTCTTAACTGCTGAGCCATCTCCAGCCTCTGTTTTGTTTTGTTTTTACCTGAGAAAATTTTATATGGTCCCAGGTTACACATTTTTTTTCAAGTTTCTGCATACCTAGAATAAAGCATGGTCTAAGTAACTTATTAATCACAAGAAATTTTAAGTACATTGAACAGAAAAAGCTATAGGATACAGTTGTAATACTCTTTTTTTTTTTTTTTTTTTTTTGGTTTTTCGATACAGTTGTAATACTCTTGGTTTTTCGAGACAGGGTTTCTCTGTGGCTTTGGAGGCTGTCCTGGAACTCACTTGGTAGTCCAGGCTGGTCTCGAACTTACAGAGATCCGCCTGCCTCTGCCTCCCGAGTGCTGGGATTAAAGGCGTGCGCCCCCAACGCCCAGCCAGTTGTACTACTCTTAAAGTATATGTGGTGATAAATGTATACAAAAACTTGAATCTAGTTTTATTAGTCTACATATTGAGAAATGGGAAGGGGAGTATTAAAGGAAACACAATGGAGGAAATTATAGCAGTTGTCAATACGGAAGTAAAGTCATATTAAGGAAATTAAAATGGACCCAAAAAAAGTGACCAATGATGCAAGTGAAAGAAGGGTCATTTAGGTTGTGGCTTATTTGTAAATTTTGTGAAATGTAACAAGATGGCTCAGTAGGTAATGGGTGCTTGCTGTCAAGTCTTAAAACCTGAGTTCAATCCTTGGAGCCCACATGCTGGAAATAGAGCTGACTCCTACTGTTTGACCTCCACAAATGAACTCGACACAAATGCATGAATGAGTGTTTTAAAAATACAGAACCAGTTAGCATTGCCCAACCTATTTTATGGGAAGAGCATTATAATGGTGAGAGTGAGGTTGAGAAAACTAGATTGCTATCTCATGATTAAAATCAGAAAAATCATTAAAACGAGTGAGTTATGTGATGTAGAATTTGTCTCAGGAATTGAAAATGAATTTGTGTACATTATACTCCATCTTAATAGATGATGAAGGTCTCCTGCATGGATCATACCTAGCCCCTTGGTTTCCACTTTATCAGCTTTCATTGGCAAATAATTCACATTTCCTGGCATCTCCACCATCCCTGGGTCTTAATCTTTCTTAGCTTCATGAAATTGCATAGCTTCATGAAATTGCCTTTCAGGACCTTGCCGATTGGAGTCTGCTGCCCATTGTTTATTCTCAGTGGCCTTATGGAACTGTGCCATAAACCTCTATGACAAATTTTTCTCGTCGCCTAAATTAGCCCCATCTAGATGCTGCTGCCAAGTTCTGGGGACAGCTCAAGATACGAATAGTCTTGTCTCATAGTTGTGTTGGCTTCTACTGACCCTGAGAAAACTTTCTAGACAGTAGATTTGAGTATGAGTGACATTCTCAGTTTTTTTCCTTAAGATGAATTTGCATTGTTGTGAAATGGAGCCTTTGCTGGGTGAGCTCATGCACACAGTACTTTTTCTATTGCCCCAGTCTGAAGTTTTCTTTTAATGGCATTAATCTCTTAACAATTATAAATGCTTAGACTTTGCCCTATTTTCTACTTGCAACTTGTTATTAATTTTTCGTGCCTTTCTGCTCCCTCACTATACATTTAGTCAAGAGCAATGAGCAATACCTGTATCACAGGTATTTCAGTTCCATCTTGAAATTTCCTCTATCAAAAACAGCCAGGGGCCTAGAGAGATGACTCAGAGGTTAAAAGCTGCTCTTCCAGAGGTCCTTAGTTCAATTCCCAGCAACCACATGTTAACTCGCAACCATCTATAATGAGATCTGGTACCCTCTTCTGGCTAAATCTTAAAAAAAAAAAAAAAAGACAAACAGAATGTGAGGCATCTGATTATAATGCCTCACAAAGAGGGATAAATGCTAATGCTCAACTTGCTTTCTCTTTTTAATTTTTTTCTGCTGCCCACTCTGCCACATTGGATAGTATCACATTTAGGGTAAGTCTTCCCTCTTTGGTTAAAATTTTCAGGGAACTCTCTCATAGGTACATCAAGATTGTGATATTGACAATAAAAGCTATCACGACAAAAGAGAAGCTGAAAAACTATAAAAGCCTGCAGCTACAATACTTATTGATGAGATCTTGTCTTTTTTATATGTAAGACTGGGAAGAAGGTGAAGAAAACTGCTCTCGGCACTTGCATACTATTGTGTACTGTCATAGTCCACTGATTAAAAGCCTTAAGTTTGGGAAGAAGTAAACAGTTTTTACTTGCAAGTGATATGATTAAACAAAATGCTGGTGGGTTTTGGAGAACTTCACTACTTGAGTTCACATAAAGTGGTGTCAATGTCAACATAAACCAACCAGTGCTACAGAATTGAGTATATAAATATATCTACACTTGTATGATCGAGGTTTCTCTTCTAGCCCTAGATGTCCTAGACCAGGCTTGCCGTAAAGTCACAGAGCTCTGCTTGCCTGTGCTCATATTAAAGGGCTTTTTCCCCCTTCTGTCTTCCCTTCCTTTTAAAAATATAGCACCTGGAGCATGACAGTACTTTCTGGCCTTGAACACAGAGATTCACCTACCTGCTTTCCAAGTGCCGGGATTGAAGGCAAGTACCAATGTAGGGCCTGGCTGTGCTTTTAGAGACATTAAGAAACACAAAACCCAACAGGTGGTGATAGTATACACCTTTAATTCCAGCATTTGGGAGATAGAGGCAGGTGGATCTCTGAGTTCGAGGCCAGCCTGGTTTACAGAGTGAGTTACAGTACAGGCTGCACACAGAAAAGAAACCCTGTCTTAAAACAAAACCTAGTGGATTTTGTTTTACCATATAAAAATGGCATTCAGCCCATGAGGTAACAAACTTCAATGCCCTTGACACTTTGAAGAAAGATTGGAGGCAGGGTGGTAGATTGCTTTCAGTTAGAGATTCACATCCATACATTATAACAAACTTCAATGTCCTTGACCCTGAGGAAAGACTGAAGGCAGGGTTGTGGGTTTGCTTTCAGTTAGAAATTCACTTCCATACATTATGTGTGTGCCCCCAACATAAGACTTATAACCTGGCCAAACAGGTATTTCATGAGCAAATTCAGAGAAAGATTGATGGGCTTCTGGAACAATAAAGCTTTTATATTGACATTCTAAGAAGGGATTTTCTAAATGAAAAGACTATTGTTTCAGTTGCATCAAGGACTTAACAGGTTAAGATTCAGATCTCACCTTCATTTCTGGAGAACAGACACCACAATGCCATAATTAGAATGATAGACTCAAAATGAATAGAGAAAAGATGACACAGAGAAATGCCTACTGAGTTGGCATCTCTATTGTAACCTTTGCTCTTTTAGCATGGCCACCTAGCTGTGTGACACTGGGGCAATGGTTGCTTTCTCAGGCTCTGACTTTCTCCATAAGTGATGCCAACAGCTGTATTGCAGGGTGATTATGTGGATGAAACAGGTTAGTAAACAAGCCATTCTTTTTTTTTTTTTTTTTTTTTTTTTTTTGGTTTTTTGGTTTTTACGAGACAGGGTTTCTCTGTATTGTTTTGGAGGCTATCGGTCCAGCCCAGCCTCGAACTCACAGAGCTCT